CCCCTCAGTCTGAGCACAGGCAAACCAGGTGTTACCATTCAACACAGGTCCTGAAATGGGGAGCACGGGCCCACCAGCACGTGGCTCCTTGGCCCCTCCTGCCACCAGCGACGCCCCTAGGGAAGAGCACATCAGCGATATACAGGCCAGACTCTCTGGGAGAAACAGAAAAGAGGATGTATTTCATGCAACATTCCTTTTCCCGAAGGCGTCGTCGGTCTGGTAGAGGCTGAGCGGGATCTGCGTGTGCATGGCACACCGGGGCTGTGTGTCAAAGAGCAGGAGCGCCTCGGCTCCTTGCCCTTCAGTGCAGTGCTCGGAGTAGAAAGAGAATCAAATTGGGTTTTATTAGTCTAGTAGAAATGCCCCCCCCTCCCCCATGTGGTGGCTCTGGAAGAGGCCAGCGCTGCCGAGGACGGTCAGCTGTCTACCAGCTGTTTGAGTGCCCGCTCAATGTTCATACGGTGCCCAACCCGTGTTACCCCCAACTCCACAAAGTCCTCCTTGGTGAGGGCAGGCAGGTGCGTGCCCTCTATTTCATGGTCCTCAAACTTGTCTCGGTGCTCCACCAAATTGATGCTTTCCAGCCAGTCCCCGACGTCGTACTTGTTCCACAGGTGGAGGGGTTTCTGCATGAAGGGCCTTGGTGGATGGAGGGTGTGCAGGGGTGGCCCTGGAGAGGGGGAAGGGGATGGGGAGCGGCTCCGGGCACTCACACTCCTCACCACAAAGCGCACCTCCTTGGGCTCATGTGGGATGGAGAGACTGGAAGATTTGAGGATGGTGGGAGGGGTCAAACCATAGGGCCGCACGGTGCTGAGAGGCTCTGTCCGATCCAGAGCAGGCTTCACGGGACTGGGGGTACGCCGGGTTACAGGGTAGCGACTGCCAGGTCGAACTGTGTAGGTGGTTCCGGAGCTCCGCTGGGAAATGGTGCTGAGTTCTCCTAAACTACTGAAAAGTCTGCAGAAAGAATGATACAGCGAGAGAGAGAGAGAGAGAGAAAAAGAGAGAGAAAGAGAGAGCAAAGGGCAGGGGTGAGGTGGAGATCCCCAGACACAAGAACACACAGATACAATATACACGGGGGGGTGGCTGCTGGAGGGCCAGGCCAGCCTGAGACAGGAGGGGTGGCTCGGTAGCAGTCGGGGGGGACACTGGCTTGGAGGACTTTAACCAAGACTTTCTTGCAAGTCCTGCAAGGTCTGCTCCAGAGGAGGTAGAAAAGGTTTGAGCAAGTATCTCCGGTATCTCCGTATCCTGGCCAAATCTGTTGTAGGTACAACAGCTCTGAAGCCCATTGAGACCTACCAGGGAGGAATCTGGCCCTGAAGCCCTCTGCACAAAAAGACTTGCTGCAGCTGAAGACCCTGCACCTCAGCCTGCCTTTGCTATCCAGTAAGAAGCAGCAGCAGAAGTGTACTAAGCCCCACCAGCCCCACCTCCCACTAGGGACTGCTCCAGTTTGCTCTTGCTAATGTCACTAACTTTGCTTTGCAATCAGGTCCAATGACAGACTCAAAACAAAACATAAAACTCCCAAGCACATCTGCCACTCAGGGGCAGAGACCCTTTCTGGGACAAGAGGGAACCTTCTGGCATCTCTCCAAGTAGTGGTGTGTTGATGGGAGGACCATTATGGCCCTCCAAAGGTGGAGATAACAGGGTCTGACTCTCACCAGAATGGTGGTGAGCTAGTTAGTGCGGGGTGCACTATGGGTCAAGGCAACAAAAAGGTGTCTGGACTGGTTTCATCTTGCATTATATGATGTCTACCTCTCTGGTAATGCCTCTCTCTCTTGGTCTGCATAGCTGCATATTTGTGAGTGTGTGTGAGGTGGGGACACGATCAGGGAAGGCTGAGCAGTGGCCAGTCCTTCCCAGAGCAGTGGGTTTTTACTTATCAAAGAGGATTGTATTATATGCCTATGCACTTGGTCAAAGTGTTCTCCACTAGAAGAGGCTCTGATGGGAGGCAAGCCACGTTCCAAGAATACTTTCCGACTGTGATCACCTGCTTTTCTTTATTCTCTCTCTTGCCAAAAACAAGTATTCGTATTTGAAAAGAAATAGATCTAAAAACTGATAGGACAAATGCATGTGGATAAGTCCTTTGAGCGTAATGATCTAAATGAGTCCTTCTGCCTGGGAAGTCTTGAGAAGGCACACTGCTGGACTGGCCTCTCTGGTCATGCCCTGCTTTGAGTTCTTTTTCCAGAAAGTTGCTCACTGTCAATTGCTGTTGGGGACAGGCTTCTGAACCAGATGGACTTAGGGTCTGCCCTGTGTGGTGTCTCTGTGTTGTGGCAATGAAAGCTAATGTAGCACAGTGAACCCACCCCAGAGCTTTGATTACTGCTCCGTGGTAATCTCTGATTACCTTGATTACTGCTCTTTGATTTGGCTGCGCTTTGGTAACATGCACACAACAGAACTTGTTGGCCTTGGGGGGTGAACTATCCCGCCGTTACTGTGAGGTAAGAACACAAGCACAGATCATTACTGGAAAGCAGCTGGTGCATGGTAACCTGCTATCCCTCAGTAACTTCTTTGCATGTCACAGTCTCACAGCTCTCAGGAGAGCAGCAAAGACTGGGTCTGAATAGGGGCCCATGTCCCAGAGCACGCTGGGGGCCTGAACGTTCCTACAGCACTAACGCTGCCGATTCAATCAAGTGCGAGTACCCTTGAAGGCAAGCAAAGCTCTCCTGGTTTGGGTCTGCATATCCCTGTGCCAAGAAGTATGGCATTATCAGTGTTGTTCTGGCTATCACTTCGCTAAATAGTCTGTGTCCACTAGTTTGGCTCGAGCAATATTGATTTGCTTCTCTTCTGAACTAACCGATGAAATGTAACAGAACTGCAGCTCTTTAATGCTTCCAGGCTGGAGGCTGGTGAGCAAACATAGTGTGGCTTAACAAACTACCTCTTTAACCCAGCTACCACACTGCCCAAAGAACAGAAGTTCCTGATAACCCAGTGAAGTCAGAGCTTGAAGTTCAGCGCTTGAAGGTGTCAAACTTGGGGCTTCCTTGCCAGCATGAGCGGGTGGCCAGTCATGGTGCTCCTTCCAGGTCCACAGTAAGCAGGGCTCTCCCACTCCTGATGCAGTTCCGAGTTAGGTTGTGAAAAGAGAACACCTGCACGTGAGTGTGTGTGTGTCTGTCTGTCTGTCTGTCCTCAAGGCTGTCTCTGCATGACACCTCCATGGAGAGCTCTGAATTCTCAGTGTGATACATGTGTTTCCCTACTGCTCTCCAAGTGCTGCTTTTGCATCTCAGGTCATTCCACCTGGAACTTATGCTCTGAAAAAGCTGTTGATGGTAACAGGAATCCAAGGTTAAAGTTAGCCGTATAAACCTGCAGTCACTAATGCACACATGCCACAAAGGATCCACGCTCCTGGGAGGTTAATAAGTACTAATGGTTTCTTGGAGAAGCTCTGAGAAGATTGGCTTAACAAAAAAGATGCAGAATGATTCTCCCTGAGAATAAGGGAGGGGGAGTAATGGACAAAGCACAAACGCTGTGCAAATATCTGCACTGAATTCCATCATGCCAACAGTTTGAAACAATGCTGCAGAGACTGGGCATATAGATGTCTCTGGGACCAAAAACACCTACTGACTGCTAACATGTCTGCATATGAAGTTCTGTCCACGGTCTGTGGGCTTAGACACATTTCCTCTTAATCTTATTTTCTTGGTACCTTGGCACAAAAAGCAAAAGGGTTATAAAGAAGTGTGATGATGAATCAAATTTGGGAAGCTCCATCAATATAAAGGAGGAAGAACTGAATGACCTTGAGGACTGCAGTAAAAGAAACAGAATGAAAAGTGACAGTACAAAATACAAGGTCCTACTCGCAGGGCTGGCAAAGGATCTCTGCTCTCAGCTAGTGCTCATCTGCTGGAAATGATGAGAGCAAGAGAAAGATCTGGGTCTACTGAAACACCCCAGGATGACTGGGAAGCATGGCTATGAAAAAGGCAAAAGGAACCATACACTAGCTGAAGTGTGGATTTCTCACAAACATAAGGCTACATTAATACCACCACACAAGACACTGTTAAAAATTTCATTGGAAATTTTGAGTACAGTTCTGGTTATTCATATTCAAGAAAGACAAATTCAAACAGGAATGGATGCAGACTGTGGCAGCTGGTGTGCCAACATCTTGTCTAACCTGGCCAAGGTGAAAGAGAGAGGGAAATTATTGTCAGAGTCTGTGAAAGGAGAACAGATGCTTGAGCTACAGGGTAATGAAGCCTCCAGGTTACAAATGGATGCTCACTGGATAGTAAAAGATGACATCTAGTTGTCAAATCGATAGCTTTGTTCAGAGGAAGCTGGTAGCCTACCAGGTAGGCATTTTACATGAGACTGTAAAATCAGTGCACTGTTATGACACACTATGGGCACTGGTCTGAGATAAAGCCACACAGCTGACTTTCAAGGCAGGCAATTAGCAATACAAAGTTATTGTTTTAAGATTCCTATTCCGTACAGTTTAGAAAGCAAATCAAAGTCTGTGTCCGAGCATGAATTAATCTATGGCTCCCAGTAATACAGGATGAATGAAGGCTGCTGCGCCGACGATTTCAGGGGGCAGCAATGAACTACGTGTCCATGACTCTGGATATCTTCTGCACTGTTGCATACTGGCCAGTCATTCAATTTCTGCTAGTATGGTGCGTGATGAAAGCTTCCATGCAAGGCTCTGTGTGGTCTGTGAATGGTATCTTACGTAGCATGGAGAAGCCAGGAGATTTAGGATGTGAACTCAGACAGTAGAGCTTTGCCCCTCTGTATTCTGACAAGTGCTGCATGTGTCCTGGATATTTTTGAATTTAGTCTGCTAATAGAAAGGGTTCATGAATGTGAGGCATCCCTCAGGAAGACGTGGACTCCATAAATGGGTAAATTCGGCCATTATTGTCTGGTTGTGCTCTGGTGTTATTCCTGCCCCTCTTTCAAGATGGTGCTAAGACCAGCATGAAGATGTGCCTGACAATAGCACCTCCACTGATTTCAGCGTATGATTTCTTCTTTTGTTATGCGGCTTACAGGCTGTGGAAGGTTGGCTCTTCCTACTCTCGGGGCAAGGGCTTGCTGGAACAGCGTGTGAAAAATCAGCTGGGTACCCGAGCTTCCATGGCTGGCATATCCTTGAAATAATGAGACAGCAGTGCCAAGACAGAGCCTTCTGGGCACGGCTTGTCAGCAGATGTAGTCTGCAGGTCTGCTCCCTCTGCTCTCTGCAGAGCACCAGCTTAGTCAGCGCAACGCACTGTTTGTGATACACTGTTGGCTCTCAATGCTTCCAGGAGCACTGTTCTGCCAGTCACGCATTATGTTGCAGACAGTGCGCAAGGGTATCTGATATCCTGTCCAGCACCAGCAGCTCACTTCATTGTGGGTTATTAGCATAATTATTTGCTCACAGGTGCTTCATTCTGGCCTGAAGCCAGGTAAGCTTTTGTGGATGTGTCCCTTTACAAGCGGCATCTCAGAGCAGTATCTTTTTGGAGGACTAGCACTTATGCATAGCAATAATACCAGCGGAGAGGGTTTTCCCCCGATCATTGTTTGCTCTTCTTCACTTCAGGTTGGATATGATTTTTGCATGTTGGCATATCATCTGTTTGCCAGAGGAATACACATTGACAAAGATGTGTACCAGCCAGCTGCAGCTAAGCTGAGGCCAGGTGTTGTATTTTAGGATGATGCTATCTAAGCCTTTATAGCTTTGTGAGGTTTAATGAATACCTAGGTGTTGTCCACTTCTCCTTTAGGCAGCATCGAGTCAATGCAACTCTGGAGCTCGGCAAGAGAAATGAAAATCTTCCTTCACTTTCCATTTATGGTAGCACTTCATCTGAGCCTTGGAGACCAATAGCAAAAAAAAAGGATGACATTGATGTGTCCTAGGCGTCACTGTGAGTTGGAGAGCGGTAGCCCTA